GCACCAGCAGATCAGCTTTGAAGCCAAAGTATTCGGTTTGCAGACTGAGGACTTTTTGTTGCCTCCGTCCACCATCTGGTTTCACATATTTTTTGATATTTCAGGGAGCCAGAAGAACTCTGGCAAACCAGCTAAAAAAAGCGTCTGCTTCTATTAAATATTTAAAGCTACGTGGTTCAGTGAAGTAGGGCAGGAAGCTTCCTGCCAGGACACATTTGTTGATCTTAACTGTAACTTTGCCATGAATGACCTTCTGAAGATGTCACGTCCAGCGTGCCACTCATGCCGGGTCTGTCCTCATGCAGAGGACACACACTTTTATAGGATTGTTGAGAGAAAATGTTGCTAAAGAGAAAGAAGACGGACTTGATCAGTTTTAACGATTAGTTATACGCGTTTTATCCTGCAGAGGAGCTCGGGTGACTCTGGAGGAAGGAACCAGTTTATTATGGTATTATCTGCTGGCCCCATATACCTGCTCAGTTTATTGTTAGCAGCTCAGAAAGAGTCATCAATCAGATGATTTGATGCCAAATATCCCCGCTTCAAAGCATTTCTGAACTGGAAATTCATCCTTTGGTCAATGTGATCTCTGCAGCTTACTCTCATTAAAAACACCTACACAATAAAAAAACGTAGCATTGCTTGGTGTGGTGCATTTTGCTCGCAGTCTTTTATGTCGAGTATTAGACTAAAATCAACTTATGTTGAGAAATGTTACAGCTAATTTGACCAAACTGAAAGAAAATGTTGTCGTCTCGTGATCTCTTGGCACGCAGCGTATGTTTTGTGAATCCACCAATGTTCAGTCAGGTCACCTGGACGGTTTCTTTATTGTGCTGAGACGTTTCATCCGTCATCCAATGGACTTCTTCAATCTGAGCAACCACCAAACCAACCAGTGTTTTGAACCACTTTGACATGACTGTCTCAGAGGAGTTGATGAGGGAGACGGCAGAGGCCATCTTAGCACCAGCAAACTGCTTTTTTCCACACTGGAGTATGTTGTTGGTGGAGAATCAGTTTGGTTTGGTGGTTCTTCAGCTTGAAAAAGTCCGTTGGATGACAGATGAAATGTCCCAGCACAATATAAAAACTGTCCAGGTGACCTGACTGAACATTGTTGGATTTTTTTACATGGATTATTGAGCATGAACTTTGGTATGTTTTGTGAACGACTGTCACTAAGACACTAAATTTTAGCTCTACATATGTAAAAATGAGCTGAACTTTAGCTGTCTTTGTGTTTAATAAGGTTGCCTAGCTGTGGCGGCCATCTTAAATTGAACTGACCCTGAAAGTTAAGCAGTTGTTGACGTACAGCCAATGATTACTGTCTGGGAGCTTTATTAAAACCCATCCACTGGTTCATGAGATATATTTTGCTAACAGTACAGACAAAAATAATGCACAATATTGTCCCTTGCCTTCTGTGGCAGGTGTTATTAAATGTGAAATCAAGATGAATTTATAAAATGACAACTAGACGACTCCGTTGAAGCTTTTTAATGATTGGCATGCCATAAAAACAAAGATGAGTTTCGTGGCACGCAGAGCTGACGTCCCTTCATCATGGCAAGCCGAAAAGCAATCGTCGATCCCAAACTTCACTTCACCTTATGATCAGATATGTGGGGGCTCGCCCGGTTCCCCAACAGCTCTGCCATGTTCAGCTTCACATCCGCAGCCCTGAGGTCTTTTAATTTCTGCTTGAAGTTTTATCTGTCGGATGCCTCATGTTTGGAAAAGTGAATGATCGATTGCTGCTCAGGGCCGTTTTCTGGGCTCTGTTGTCTTTTTTCAAGAGGTTTGTTTTTAGTCCTTGCACCGCATTGATCCATGATTTTTATCCTTTTGTAATACTATTTGCGAGACGCTGTAATCAAATTAAACGTAAGCACTCTCCAAAAAACAACAGTAATTGTTGGGGCCTATTGTACCAAGCCCTTCAGCGTGCACTTGAACGGAGAGCAGTTCTATGTTGTTTTGGACGTTTGGGGGCATTTGCGTCATTTACTTGTGTTTGATTTTTTTTGTGTTTGCACAATTAGAAATTGCTGTACAGGCATTGTTTTAACAAGTAGCTGCCTGTTCTTTTAGTTTAGAAGAGTTCCACCTAAAGTCTGGCGCGCAACAGTAGCAGGAAAAGTGAAAGGATACTTCCTGGAGGAGAGAGTTTGTAAGTCAGACTGATGTGATTTGTCGATAAGAGAAGGAAACAAAGTAATTTAAAGGTCTTCTAAAAGATGGCATTTACATGTTTTAAATCACAATTCATCATGTAAGATGATTTCTTGTGACAAATTAAATATTTGCAAATGCTGCTTGCATTTTTGGGACACAGCAAGAAGGTCAGAGGGTTGAGAAAGCCTTTATCTTTCTCTGTCTGCAGCTCTCACGCTGTTCCCCTCCTGCGGGGATCAGTTTGGTTAATCATTGTTTCTCCTCAGTGCTGAGTTGCACAAAGTGGTGTGCCGTGAGCTGCCGGAGGAAATCAGCCCAAGTGTTTTAGTGAGATGGAGGGAAACTCAGGAAAACAGCCACTCGTGGCAGAACAGTTGTGCATCACTAAAGAATGCCCTCCCGTGTTCGTCTTGGTCTCTCGTAAAGTTTGGTGCACCCAAACACGAGATAAAATTTGGCGTGGTAGTACATGAGACTGATCCACAGCACATGTTCTGAACAGATTGCGCAAGATCTTGGTTTAAAATTTGCAAAACATCACATGAAACAGTTGGCAGGTTTTAATAAAACCTTCAGGAAGTAACCACTGATAGTTCATCCACAACTTATTCTTATTAATTCTGGAGTCAACCCAATTCAGGATGGCTACCACAACCAACTGACCTTGGAAACACAAAAATGTCTATAACTTAGTGGAGTTTACACATATTATGCTAAACTTTGGTGTGCTTGTAGCTGAGACAACACACACTCCAAGTTTCATTCAGTGTGTGAGGTCTTTGCATGAGATTTGAAGCAACAAGTATTGTAGTCAACCCTGTTTGTTAGCAAAATGCAAAATCTCAGTTCGGACCAAACCTTTTCCTACGCAGCTCCTGCAAGCTGGAGCACCTTGCAACAGGAACTGAAGTTGTCCTCCTTGATTCCTTTATGGGGTTTCAAACATTTGATAATGTCAATAGAAAAATCAAAGCAAATATGTTCTTGTTTTTTTAGTATTTCACCCTGTTTTACGGCACCCTGATTTATTGTTTTATACACACTTATTTTAACTGCATTTTTACTGTAGTTGATTGTTATCATTGTCTGTTATTGTTGTCTGTACTTTATATGTTCTGTCTGGAACAGGTCCCTCTTTCAAATGAGTCCCCGTGGCTCAATGAGGCTAGCCTGTATAAAAAAAGGTTTAAATGAAAGAAATAAAAAAATCTCATGAACCAGCAAATGAATATCCATCTAGAACTGATTTAACTTTTATAGTAAACCCAATTCAAGATGGCTACCACAACCAACTGACCTTGAAAGACACAAAAATGTCTATAACTCAGTGGAGCTTACACATATTGTGCTAAAATTTGGAGTGCTTGTATCTGAGAGTCACTTACAACACACACTCCAAGTGCCATTCAGTGTGTGAGGTCTTTGCATAAGAGTTAAGCAACAAGTGTTGAAGTCAAACCCGTTTGTTAGCAAAATATCTCATGAACCACGAAATGACTATCCATCTAGAACTGATTAACTTTTGTAGTAAACCCAATTCAAGATGGCTACTATAGTTAAGTCACTTTTGCTTACACAAAAATGCCTATTGTTCATCTAATTTAGCAGATGTTGAGCTAAAATTTAATGTAGCAGTGGCTGAGATTAATTTACAGCACATACAGTGTGATATCTGAATGAAAGAAAACGTTTTTCTTTAGTCTGAAGTGCCTATTGTTGCTTTAAAAATGAGAAGGAAACCAGTTCTTGTGTTGCTGGGTGTTAAATGTACAAGAGTCAGTGCTGCCATCTGATCTGGACCGGTCCTGACCCGATGTTAGACCAGACTAGAGCAGCTCAGGCCCCTCAGGCAATTGCTGCAATCAGTCTGTCTGCTAATGCTAAGTGCATCTAATGGTTATTACGCTGAACAGGTCATTTAGAAAGTCGGGTTCTTTGGTTCATGATGTAATCAAGTTTTACTTTCAGTCGAACATTGCAACATGCAGGGTGAGGATTTAAAATGTGACATGAATCTCCTGACTTTTTTTTTTTTATATATTTTAAGAGTCTTATTGACATGTTTTGAAAAAAAAAACTGAATGTGGGCTTTCTCAACCACTGCTGGATCACATTCTGTCCATCTTCTGTGGTCTTATCTCTTGACAAATGCCTGCTCATCTGTAACCAAACACACGTCCACACAGCCTCGTCCTCCTACTCGCCACAAGACTCAGAACAGAATGGAATTTGAAACGTTTTAGCCAAAAATGTTTCCATGGTCAAGGTGTTTTTTGCAGAAACGTTTCAGATTTCGTTCCGTTCTCCGGCTTCGGTCAGATTCGTTGGGAGTTGGCTGCAGTCGATACCCAGGTAAGTGGCCTCTGGCACACACGGATACGCGTTGAACCAAAAATCTGATTGGTTTTAAAGTGAAGGTGCAGCCAACGGAGAGAGTGCATCGGGTCTGAGCTGCAACTGGATCACTGATGGAAGGAACAGCGTATCCTTGAGGAATTCTCTGAACGTCCTGCTCTATCAATCAGTCCCACACCTTCTATAACTGCGTGTTTGCTTTGTCAAAATCAAGATAAAACTTGTCCATCGTTTCTAAAATAACAATCTGTTTGAGCACAAGTAAACCATGCACTGAACTGTTCTCTTTATTTTGCCTTCTCTGTTTGCCTTCCTTCTAAATTTGGAATAATTGCACCGAGTTAGAAGTAGCCCAGCATTTTCCTGTTTTGCTCATCTGGTTACATATGGCCATCAGAGCCAAGTTAATGTGTTTCCAATGAACTTTGATGGATTGTGTGTCTCTGTGTCATTCAGGCTGTGTGGCAAGTGTAGATAAGCCCCCTTATGAGGTGAAATCCCCCCTCCATCCTGCAGTCTCCCCTCCTCCAGCATCACCAGCAGGAATAAGGGATGTCAGGGCTGTTCCTCTTTCTGACAGCGCTCATTGTCTCCTGCAGCATCCAGGTGGGTCCTGAGAGCTCACTCATACAAACATGTACCAACAGATGTAGACAGGAAGGCACACAGTTCATCTAAATCTTAAAATCCTCCAAACAAATGATGCATGAACTACACTCGGTCAGTGGGCTCTGCATGCCATGATGGTTGTTTCCTTCTTTCCTGCACTCTGTTTGGAGGTAAATAAGTAAATGGCTGTTTGCTAGAATGCTTCTCATTCTGAATATTTCATTTAACTTATCATTAGACATTGTAACATTTGCAGATGCCAGAACTTTTTGATGTAACAGAATATTTTTTTATTGAATTATCCCCTTTATGTGTCACCCTCCCCTCCTCAGGTGTCTTCTGCTGCTACGTTGGACAAGCTGAAGGAGGACTGGAAACTATATATGGAGGAGTGTGAACGTAACAACAGTCTATATCCACCCAGCACCGGTGAGCTAAACATATGTTGATTTTTTTCTTGCATTTTCAAGTTTTTTTTTTTTTTACTAAAATGAGTAAGAAATGTTGAGGCCTGCACGGAGTCCACTTTTTCCCATGTAAATGTGGGTTTTCTCTGGATACGCCATTCAAATGTACATAAAAAACTATTACCCCTTACAGTGTTCCTGAGAGAGTTTTATTTGTACACGAGAGATATTTAAACGGAACGTCTTACAGTTTTGTAAAATGATTTGTATTTTTTTATTATCTTGTTGGACAGTTACAACAAACTGAGTTATAGTTTGGTCACCGCATAACGGAGAGGCTGGAGTATGCGCTCCCTGGTCACACGATGAGAAAACCACTAAGCTTGCAGTTGCTTCCAGTAATATATTTGCAGCACAGTCCCACTTCTCATGTGCAAAGTGATGCTTCGTTGAGAAATTGTTCAACTACAAGATGAATTCTGCCCTTCAGATTTATTTTCTGTCTGCAAATCACTACTGTTTGGCCAGAAACAAGAGAGCAGGTCCACTCAATCTAAAAAAAAAAAAAAAAACTACTTCCCACACTTTACGCAAAATTGCACCTCTCAGCTCTCAGGGCTGCAGCTCTTATATACATTTCCTGCAGGTCCATTAGTGTGAAAACACGCTGGCAGCTGTAGAGGGCATAAGCTTTATCACATTGTTTGCCTAAATATCCAGCAGTCCGTGCTCTATAATCAACGCTGACGAGAGACATAATGAAATGTGGAAAGGTAGAGGTAAAGATGAACCAAAATGACTTCCAGTAGAGATCACTTTAATGACACTGTTACACATATTGTGTGTTCATTTGGCCGTTGTGTTAGCAAAATAGCACATGAACCAGTGGATACATCAGTCAATCCTAAAATGGTTGGATCAGCCAAATGACATGAACAAGCACAAAATGGCTGCAACTTAGTCAATTTTACAGATGTTGATCTAAAATTAGATGTGTTGGTAGCTGAAAGTCATCCCCATCACTTACTCTGAGTGCACACAGATCATGTGAGATCTTTGTTTAAAACTTTGGTGTGCAAAGCAGCAGGTGATATGGATTTATTAACCTTCTTTGGTGCACTTTTTTTTTTTTTCTCCAAGGTACATGTAGGACCTAATAAGTTAATAACTAGACTTTGTCATGGTACAGGAAGTGGTTTTAGAAAGAAAAAAAAAGATGTTCTCATATGAGGACAGTTGGTTTATTTTTGCATTTTATATATTTTTTTGCAATTTGGGATCAGAAGTTCCCAATTACGCTGCAAACTAATTTTCAGCTTTCTATGATAAGCAGTTCTCAAAAAATTATATAAAAAAAATAATCAATGTCCCCATAAGAGGACACTTGGTATCAGGAAGTTAAAAAGAATGTTAGCTTTAATTTTACTCATGTTTTTCTTATTTTTTATACATGTAAATATCACAGGTCCTGTGTGCAACCGGACTTTTGACAAGTATGCCTGCTGGCCTGATGGACTCCCCAACACTACAGTCAGCGTGGCATGCCCGTGGTACTTACCATGGCACTATAAAGGTTAGAGACGGTATAGATGTCCACCTGTCATATTACTGCAGAGTAACGCTGCTGTCAAGTGAAGGCTGCACTTTCCAATGAAAGTTTGCATTTGTGCACACGTGCAGTACAAAATGGCATGGTGTACCAGGAGTGTGACGCCAACGGCCTGTGGGTGACAGCCAAGAATACCAGCGAGTGCGACTCTGATGATTCGAGGAAGGTAAGAAAGGCAAGAGAAGAACAAACAATTGTTTCGTCAGAAGAATGTTATTTTTAAACGAAGGAAAGAAATATCTAACGTCTTTATTGTTTATATATGTTTGAATTTGCAGTACTACTTTGAACATATTCGTATCATGTACACTGTGGGCTACTCCTTATCCCTGGTGGCTTTGGTTTTGGCTCTTGGCATTCTTATATTCTTCAGGTATTGATATTGATTGTGAATCATAAAACAAATCTTGGTTTTGCATCTAAAAGAGGCCCAAATACCTTTAGTGTTTTGTAAAAAATACACAACAGTGAAGCGTTTAGAACCATTTTGTGTCTTATTTGCCAGGAAGTTGCACTGCATGAGGAACAACATCCACATGAATCTGTTTGCCTCCTTCATCCTGCGAGCCCTGTCAATCCTGATCAAAGATGCTCTGCTGGAGGCCAACCACACATTACAAGACTTCAGCAGAGACCAGGTTCAGGCGTTCCCCAGCGCATCCTCCCCAGTGGAGCTGCTGGACAACAATGTGGTTAGTATTGAACTGACAGGGGAGAGTGACAGCGAGCCTTACACTGCTTACTAAAACCATCCACAAGCCTTTTATTTGTAGCAGTTTGTCCAATTTTATTTTTTTGTTTAGTTCTGTAATGCAGAAAATTGTTTCCTGTATCAATTTTATGTCTGACTGCACTTTAAACATAAATCCCAAAGGTTTTCCCGGTTTTAATTATTAATGGTTAAACTACACCATTGCAATGTACTGTTGATCTATTTTTTTTTTTTTTTTTAAGAAATATTGATAATGCAGGGGACAATCTAACAATAATAAAACCTTAAAAGATTGCCCATTTATGCAAGTTATTATTATTATTAATTTAAATTTAGACAACAACTTGCTTTAAAGGGCTTATTAATATAATGTTTTCTAGATGTATGCATGCTGTTCTTGTATTATGAACAAAATAAAGATAAAATAGCACAATAAGTTGGACTAAAATGGTTGAATATTCAGAGAAAATGACATGTTAGGGTAAAAAAACCACATCACCGATGTTAGCATCAAGCCGTGTACGATGGGAAGATCCCTATCTTTACTGTGTGTTGTGCTCCGTACCACAAGAAAATTGTGCAAGTTGCTACATTCGTACAATCTGCCTGCTGTCAGCTTGAAGCTTGGGGGGAAATCTCATCTGCTCCAGTGCCGATCTGACCACATTCAGCTGATACGTATTTAACATTCCTCTCCTCGATGGGGTTTTGTAAAATTCATCCTCCTGTTCTCTTGCAGACATCGATTAGCTGTCGCATGGCGGTGGTGATGATGCAGTACAGCATCATGGCTAACAGCTACTGGCTGCTGGTGGAAGGCATCTACCTTCACAACCTCCTGGTCATCACAGTGTTTACAGAGAGAAACTACTTCAAAATCTACCTGTACATCGGTTGGGGTGAGATGGCCGTTTGTTGTGTTCGGGTCAGGGGATCCATAGAAATCAATGCTATATTATTGTTTTTGTGCTTGAACCATGTAGCACAGTAGTGTGAAAAATAACAAATATTTTTGTTTTCAGGTACACCATTAATATTTCTCATGCCGTGGGTCTTTGTTAAACATATTTCTGAAGATCATGAGTAAGTGTTCTTTTTACTCTTCATTATACAAACTTTTTTTTATTCTAAGTCATATTGAGTTCTTTAGTGGCCAATGCAGTTTGTTGAGGAGTCAGGCAGCGAGGTCATAATTAAAATAGTTTTTAGATTACAATAAACAAAGTAGGTTTTTTTGTAATGGAGTGGAAAAAGTAGAAAATTGAGTCTATACTGTATCTATGTATCAGGGTTGTAGTCAAGACCACCTAACCCGAGACCAAGTCGAGTCCGAGACCTCAAGTCTTGGAGCTCAATCTTTTCACAGATTATCTGTCTTATACTGTCACGACATAGTGACAGTTTTAACAAATATGTAAAAAACATATGTAACTTTTATTAAAAGAAAATTTAAAATAAAAGTTACATACTGCAACTTTAAGTTTGCTGTTGAATGAATGTATCAGCTTTTATAAAATTTCAAAGCTACATAACAAAGAAATCAGAGATTCAGTGGTTGTTGCACAATAATTTTCATGTCATGTGACCCACTGACACAAAACTTGTGTTAAACTACTCTGCTAGACCTGACAGATGAGGCACCCTCATTCATTTCTCATTTTAAAGCATTATCTAATTTTACATAATTTATTTGTTCAAAAATCATGCTTTTTGCTCAGTAACTAATTAGAAAATGCTTTAAGATGAGAAATAAATCATGGCGTGTTGTGTGTCAGGTCTATTAGAGAAGTTTAACATTAGTTTTGTGTTAGTGGGTCAAATGATGTAAAATATATAATTTTTTTGTTTCTGACGAGTGTTTGGTTTGGTAATTTCTAATCATTGCGTCTCGAAGGAGGGGCAGACTGAGCGCAACTGATGGAAATCAGACTGCCTGCTTCGGATCGAACGAGATACTACTTTTTAGAAGAATAAATAAATAAAAACACTGCTTTAAAAAAATGTCTAAAATATCTGCCTAATAAACTGATCAACTGGTCTACCTCTAGAATTACCGTAGGAAAAAAACATTAAACTATTGTATGTATATGTATTGTATGAATGCATATTCTTCCCAGTTTTAGGCTGCACTGTTTAGTTTATTCCAGCATTTAATTTATATTAAATGACTCTTTGATTCAGGTTGCCAAACATGGTCAGCATCTACACAAACTGTTCTAAATAGTCCATGTTAACATTCTACACCATCTTTCAACACTCCTCTGGTTTTTAAGTATTTAAACCCATATTGTTTAAATCTTGGGACAGAGTTGTAAGGTAAAAAATGTAAAAGCTGCAGCAGCTTCCTTCACTTCCACTTTAGAAGAAGCAACAAAAGTGTGAGAAGCACAGATCCAAAGTTTGTAAAGCACAGGAGACATCACTGGTGTTCTCTGGTTGATATGTTTGTCTATATTTTTTCTTTTTCAGGTGTTGGGAGCAAAATATAAACATGAATTACTGGTGGATAATCCGGGCACCCATTCTTCTTGCTGTTGTGGTAATTCTGGCTTTCATTGTCACTCTACTGTTTAATCTATTATTTACATGTTCTTTTAGCTTTGTTTAAACTTTAGCAGCCAAAAAGTGTGTTATCCAGAAATTTCTGCATGTGCAACTGGCATCTTTCCACTTGACTGCACCAAATCATACTCTATGCAGTATTAAACACACATCCTTTATTCATAAAGTGTGAAAGCCCGACTATGCTTCAGATCTAGCATTTTGGAAGCGTTTCAGTTCACATGTGCACTGCTGGGGTCAGTTCAGAGCATTTATTTAGGTGTGTTTTGTTGTCTCTCCTACGTGAAGCCAGACATCCTGGCAGTTTCTATGCATTAATCGTCCTGCTAAGTGGCTGGTATCCCGCAGGAATTCCTGTGTTTGATTTGTTTTGGAGTACTAGCAGGGCTGGTCCTTGTTTTGTTCCCCTTGTTCTCATCTCATCATTTTCAAAATTCACAGCTGAGCAGACGAATGTACAAGGTAGAAAAGAGTTTAAAACACAGAAACACGTAACTAGAGAAATTACATTTTCTGCAAAAATGCAGTGTGAATGCTTCTTGCAGAAGAACTTGCTGAAAAATAGCTGACATTAGCTATAAAAAAAAAACACATGCTGAAACGTAGCTGAAAATGTAGAACAAGCGTAAATCAGCAAAAGAAAGCAGAAAGAACACAAAAGTTGAAATGAGTGCAAAACATATGGACTTAGCTGAAAAAGCTAATATTAGCATAAAAACAGCTAAATAGTAGCTGAAATAACTGAAACAGAACAAGCTTAAAGGAGCTTAACAAGTTGAAATTAGCTGAAATAATATAATTACCGGTAGGCTGAAAGTAGCAGAAATTATCATGAAAAACTTGACATCTGAAAACAGCTGAGTAGTAGCTGAAATATGCTAAAAATCTATAGCTGAAAAGGTTGAACAAGCTTGAATTGGCATTTTTTTTAAAAACAGAAAGAACATATGTTTGCCCAATTAGGCTGTAATAAGCAAAAATGAGCACAAAAAGTGGAAATTATCTGAAAAAAGCTGAAATTAGCAAATATCAGCCAAACAGTGGCTAAAAAAGCAGAAAGAAGCTTAAATTACCAGACGAGTTGAGTGAGCTCATTTTAGCTGAATTAAGCTGAAAAAAGTTTAAATGAGTGCAACAAAATTGGAATTAGCTGAAAAAGCTAAAATTAGCATTTAATTATCTAAATAATAGCTGAAATAGCAGGAATAGATGAAACTTGCAGAAATAAGCTGAAAGGAGCATAACAAGCTGAAATTAGCAGAAAGAAGTTAGAAGAAGCACAAAAATGTTGTAATTAGCATAAAGATCCTGAAACGAGCACAAAACAGCTGGACAAAACAGCTAAAATTAGCTGAAAGTAGCTGAAAACAAGTTTAAATTTACACAAGGAAGCTGAAAGAAGCTGAACCAGAACAAAATGTGAAAGGAGCAGTAAAAGGTTGTAAAGAGATCTAAAGATTTGAAGGATGTAAAATGAGCTCAATTCATTTCCTGTAAGGAAAACAGTGGCAGAAAAGGCTAAATATCTCAAAAAGCTAAAGTTGCACCAATACCTAAAGTCGTAGCACCCTTCTCCTGAACGAGCTGAACGTTTTGATTTATGATTTGTTCAAATAGCACAAAAATTATGGAATGAGAAAAATGTACAGAAGAAAAATGGTTCACAATAGCGTGAATGCCTCATTCACACTATTATTTAATTTAAACCAAGTTAATGCAGTCAGATTACAGCTGAAGTGAAAATCAGAAAACCGTTTAAACGTCCAAATTAGGACGGACACATTTTCTGTAGGTTAAACGCAGAAAAATGAAAACCATAAAGGTTGCATCATGAGGGATTTCCATCAGAAGAACACCTGCTGTGTCCTGAAATGTCAGCCAGCTGGTGTGAAAAAGCTTTTTTACTTTTTATACATTTAGTGGGTGCAGATTAAAATAGAAAGTGGCTTATTTTGACAAGGAGTTGACCTTTTATTTATTACAATGATCACCAAAACCCTGAGCTGCTGTTTATAGTAGTGTAAAATGAAGATGCCCCGATTTATTTTGAAGATTTAATGGAGGAAGAAGTTTTGAATTTTAATTCTTTGATATGTCAACGGATTAACTAAATGTTTGTATAAAATAACTGAACAACTGCCAGAAGTCTCCGACCTGCAGTCGTCATTGAAATGTGTGCTGCTTTTTGTGTACTTTCTTTTGTCGTGTTTCTCTGTGGATCTTCAAGCTTTTGCTTTTGCAACTTGAACCGATTTGGAGTCATTATTTGTTTTTTTCCAAACCACCGTGGAGTTTTCCACTCTTTGGTCCAGAGAAACTCTCAGGGCTGCGTGCTTTGGGTCATTGTCTGTCTGCGCTGTGAAGCACGTTCCCATTAGTTTTGTTGATTGTGAGCAGACAGCTGATTCCTGAACGCTGCAGATTTCAAGAAGCTGCTTCTGTTTTCTGTCACATCATCAATAAACGCGAGCGTCCCAGTGGAAGGCGCGTGTTTGTGCTCTTACATCAGTTTTAAACATCACATTGTGTGCTTTAGATCAGGAACTTTTTCAAGCTCTCTTTTGGTTCTGTCTTGGCTTCCCATAGTTTTAACAGAGACAGTTTAATCATCTGAAGCTGAAGTTAAAGTTAAATCTGAGCTTATAATTCCTAATGCTTCTGTTTATTCTACACCTTAAAGCAAATCATCAATATTTGCTTTTATAAAAGCTTATTTTTTTCCCCAACAAAGTTGATAACAATCATGGATCATGGATAAAATGCTGTGATTATTCAAAACCATCATCCTCCATCAGCATTTACCATATTTTTCTGACTGTAATGTAACAGTCAAGTCAAACTTTATTCAACTCATTCACAATAACCACATAAAATCGGTTCGAGGTCTGTAAGCACAACCAGAATTAATACATAAGGCTCAGGATTATAAGGCTCACTGTCGATGTTTGAGAAAATTAAAGGATTTTAAGTGCACCTTATAGTCCGAACAATACGGTAGGTCTATTTTTTTTATCTCAAAATTCAAGAATTAGGATAAAAACGATGTGTTATTGAATAACATATTGTACGACAGAATTACAGACATGGCTTAGAGTCACACAGACATAAAGCACTTTATCAAAACTGAATACTTTTATCAGATGATGGTGAGTTGGAATGTGAAAAGGGGATATTAAGTAACTTTGTGGCTTCTGGAAAAATCCAGTTCCTCCGCAGGGAATGGCCACATTCCAGTAGAATATCAATAAAACACATGAGGTCTGCTCAGTTCAATTCAGCACCACTTACAAAACAAAAACATCCAACACCTCATTTCATGGGACTCCTAATTACCTCGTGTAATTTTTGTCTAACATGTTTTTTGATTAGCTGGAATAAGCTGGAAAATATACCGTAATTTTCAGACTATAATGCGCACTTAAAATCCTTTCATCTTCTCAAAAATCCACAGTGAGTCATAATCTGGTGCACCTTATATATTAATTCTGGTTGTGCTTACTCACCTCGAACCGATTTCATGTGGTACACGGAGCTCAAAAATCTGTCAAATTATTTTAGTTTTCCTTAATGCACCTTGTAATCCGGTGCACCCTATAGTCCAAAAAATATGGTAGATTAAAAATACAAATTTGACTTTCAGCATTTGTTTCAGCATCTTTCTGTATTTTTGGGGGGTTTTTTACAGATCAACTTCCTCATCTTTATTCATATTATCAAAATTCTTGTTTCAAAACTTCGAGCACATCAAATGAGATACACGGATTATAAAGTCAGGTGAGTTTTAATTTCAGATTACATTTTCTGCAATTGTGTCTTTGTGCTTTCTTTCTTGCAACTTAGTTTGAAGCTTTCTCTTTTTTTTTTTTTTTGTTTCTTCAGATTGGCAAAATCAACTTTAACCCTGATCCCTCTTCTAGGGATCCATCAGGTGGTGTTTATTTTTGTGACGGACGAGTACACCAGCGCGACCATCAGTTTACGTCACACAAAGCTCTTCGTTGATCTCTTCTTCTCCTCCTTCCAGGTCGGATCATAAAAACAGTTTTTTATTGCTTCTTTGCGTGCTCCAACCATTAGTGGTCATTATCAGGGATGTGAAAACACCTATTGCTAATCTGGAGGTGGTTTTTTTTTGGCTGCGTCAGAAGGGATTATATGAGAATACTGTAATTATTCAAGCAGATAGTTAACAACAATGACAGGGACCTTTAAGCTTTAGAGAGCAATATGACAGATGAGTCACAAACAGAGCAAGAGAGGAAATATGCAGAGGACAGCTGTGACCACAGATGTTTTATTTATAAATTTATTTATTTTTCTCTTTGCATTCAATAAAAATCCAGCTTTAATCTGTTTCAGCATGTAGCTATAGGTTGCATTTAGCGTTTATAGTATTTCATCATCTCTGCAAGCGTGCAAGCTTGTTTACTTTAGCTCGGTGTGAGAGCTTCAGTTCCAATCCCTGCTTGCTGTGGGCTCAGTTCACGACGTGTCTCCTCTGATCAACGACGTAGCCACGCTCTACGACACACAGACGACACATTGTTTTTTTTTGTTGTTTTTTCTGACACACACAGAGAAAGTTGTCAGATTTTCTGGAGCAGAGCTGCTGTAGAGGTGATTTAGCGATGAGGACAGAAGTGCAACAGGCAGAAGAGGCAGTTGTTCTTGGTCACATGAGTGGGAATGAAACATTTACAGGAAGCGATTTTTCTTTTGTCTATAAAAAAGTTTTACGCCCAAAACAAATCTTTTTCTTTTTTTTGTTTGAACTTCATGATTTGCATTTTGGTTTTAATTTGGTCTAAAATCAAACGTTTTCTAGAACAATATTTCACATTTTCCAAACAGAGCACTTCGCTCTCAGACTGCAGGTTTACTCACGGATCCTAGAGTTTCCAAGCGTAAAATGGGAGGAAGATCTTTCAGTTATCAGGCTCCTCTCTTGTGGAACCAACTTCCAGTTTCTGTCTGTGAGGCTGACACATTGTCCAGTTTTAAGACCGGGTTTAAAACTTTCCTTTTGATAAATCCTATAGTTAGGGTTGGCTTATTATACTGCTATAGGTTTAGACTACTGGAGGACAAATTGACCTCATTTCCTTAAATGAATTGTTACAAACAAATTGTTTTCATTTGATATTATTTCTATCTTAATGTGATTCTCGACCTGCCATTGTGTATCTGTTCCTCTCAAACCCAGCCGGTCAAAGCAGATGGCCACTTGTCCTGAGTCTGGTTCTGCTAAAGGTTTCTTCTTCATGAGGGAGTTTTTCCTTTCCACTGTCGCCTTCATGCTTGCTCAAGATGAGAGTTCTGTGATGGAGTTAAATACAAAGCAGTCTGCTCCTCAGATACATATTGTTAAATTATTATTTTTATATATGAATGTTTCTGTTCTGTGCTCTGAGATGACTTCTGTTGTGACTTGGCGCTATATAAAAAAACTGAACTGAATTAAACAATGATAGAGACTGATCCCATGCTGATTGTCTTCTCAGGGTCTGCTGGTGGCCATCTTGTACTGTTTTGTCAACAATGAAGTGAGTGTCCTCAGCCACACAAAATGTTATATATATATTCATCTATCTCTATCTATATATAATGTTATATTTTGCTTCCATTTTCCCACCTTTT